GATCTCACACCCTTGAGACTTTTATGACCAGAGATTGTCATCACTTGTGTGTCATCAACACCACTTTGATATAACCAATTTAGACTAGTAGCACAACCAGAATGGTTGACCATTTTCTTCTGTTTAAATTTATACCAGCATTGAAACATATTGTCTTCATGTAATTCTTGATTTTCTCAGTTCCAATTTTATGATCAAGATACCATACATCATCATTGATTGCTAAAATCATAAAATTTATCAGATGTATTAGTTTTGAAAAACTAACCATCATGAAAAGTGAAATATAAATAAAAAAACCAGCCTGATTGGATGAATTTACTTGCTAATAAAACTCTTTTATAATACATGGTGTTGGTCATTTACTCAACAAGATACAATGTCATCATAAGCTCCTTGATGTTCTTTATCACATGGACATGGGATATTTAGTGATTCAAGACCACCTTGATCATTTTTTTGATGAAATTTGGTGAAAACAACCATATCATCACATATATCAAACTGACATTTTAATATTTTTGTATGTTCACCACCATGAGGACAAAATACTAAACAGACCCATATAAATACTCTCCTAGAAAGACCTTTGGGTATAACTTTTGATGTTGCGAATCCAAGTTTCCTAATTACCCTATAAAAAATAACATACGGAATTTCCGTATGTAAATACGTTCTAAAAAAATAAATACGGAATTAACGTATTTATTATACGGTTTGAAAAGTTTGCACTTTTTAAAATTTAACACAAGGTGCGAAACAGGTGCGGAATAGGTGCGGAATGTGTGACATACTGAAAGGGTACGTTTTTGTTTCCACATAAAACATACGAAATTTATGACATACTGAAAGGGTACGTTTTTGTTTCCGCGTAAAACATACGGAATTTATGACATACTGAAAGGGTACGTTTTTGTTTCAGCATAAAACATATGGAATTTATGACATACTAATACTGAAAGGGTACGTTTTTGTTTCCGCATAAAACATACAAAATTTATGACATACTGAAAGGGTACGTTTTTGTTTCCGCATAAAACATACAAAATTTATGACATACTAATACTGAAAGGGTACGTTTTTGTTTCCGCATAAAACATATGGAATTTATGACATACTGAAAGGGTACGTTTTTGTTTCAGCATAAAACATACGGAATAGGTATGGTCCATTTTGATTGCATATAAAACATATGTAATGAATGTGAGTGAGTGATACGTTTTTAATTTCATGTATATAAAGATAAATATATGGACACTTGCAGATCATTGGGAACAATTGAATAAAGAAATATGAAAAAAAAAAATAAAAATTTTATTATCCTAACCACATTCACTGATCACTGGTTCAATCCCAGCAAAGGCTTAACAAACAGGATATCTAACTATTTGATTTTATTAATTATTATGGTCAATCATTACCTATTACACATTATATAAATATTATGATTTCTACATGCTCTCATACTTTTGTACATAACTATCCTAACAATTCCACTATTGAAGCAACTTTAATTTCCAACTTAAAGAAATACAAAATAACAGACTATTTTATCTCTTGGATATTATCCAGAAAATCCAATATTTACTCATTCAATAACAATTAATTTAATAATCTTCACCAAGTTCAATTAATTGAAATAAAATCCTTTGTAATCTTACCTTCTTAATATATATATTATGCTTATACATGATTATCATTCATTAATGTATAAAAAAATTGTCTTGATCTTTTGCAATCCAAAAATTTAAAATTTAAAAATTCATAATTCCGCCAATTTTTGTAGGAATTTTACAATCTTAGATTCATTCAAAAGCCAAGGTTCCATAATTCGTCATACTAAAAAACATATGTTGTTAATATGTAAACTTTAAAGATCGTTAACAATTTAAAACATCAATAATCTACACCTAAATTACTCATATAATCAATTAATTAATCATTATTATTTGATTTTAATCTTCACCAAAATTCAATTGATTGGATAAAATCCTTTGTAATCTTACCTTCTTAATCTATATATTATGCTTATACATGATTATCATTTATTGATGTATAAAAAAATTGTCTTGAGATCTAAATCTTTTGCAATCCAAAAATTTAAAATTTAAAAATTTGTAATTCCGCCAATTCTTGTAGGAATTTTACAATCTTAGATTCATTTGAAAGCCAAAGTTTGATAATTTGTCATACTAAAAAATTGTATATTATTAATATGTAAACTTTAAAGATCGTCAATAATTTAAAACATCAATAATCTATGCCTAAATTACTCATATAATCAATTAATCATTATTATCTTCACCAAAATTCAATTGGTTGAAATAAAATCCTTTGTAATCCTACCTTCTTAATCTATATATTATGCTTATACATGATTATCATTCATTTATGTATAAAAAAATTGTCTTGAGATCTAAATCTTTTGCAATCCAAAAATTTAAAAATTTGTAATTCTACCAATTCTTGTAGGAATTTTACAATCTTAAATTCATTCGAAAGCCAAAGTTTGATAATTTGTCATACTAAAAAATCGTATATTATTAATATGTAAACTTTAAAGATCGTCAGCAATTTAAAATCTCAATAATCTATGCCTAAATTACTTATATAGTCAATTAATCATTATTATCTTCACCAAAATTCAATTGATTGAAATAAATCTTTTGCAGTCTTACCTTCTTAATCTATATATTATATTTATATGATTATCATTCATTGATGTATAAAAAAATTGTCTTGGGTTCCTTTAAATCTTTTGTAATCCAAAAATTTAAAAATTTGTAATTCTACCAATTTTGAGGATATTTTGGCGATCTTAGATTCATTCGAAAGCTAATGTTCCATCATTCATCATACTAAAAAATCGTATATTGTTAATATATAGACTTTAAAGATCGACAACAATTTAAAATCTCAACAATCTATGCCTAAATTATGTGTATAATCAATTAATCATTATTATCTTCACCAAATTCAATTGATTGAAATAAAATCTTTTGTAATCTTACCTTCTTAATCTATATATTATGTTTATATGATTATCATTCATTGATGTATAAAAGAATTGTCTTTGGGTTCCTTTAAATCTTTTGCAATCCAAAAATTTAAAAATTTGTAATTCTACCAATTTTGGGGATATTTTGGCGATCTTAGATTCATTCAAAAGCTAATGTTCCATCATTCATCATACTAAAAAAATCATATATTGTTAATATATAGATTTTAAAGATCGTCAATAATTTAAAATCTCAACAATCTATGCCTAAATTACTTATATAGTCAATTAATCATTATTATCTTCACCAAAATTCAATTGATTGAAATAAAATCTTTTGTAATCTTACCTTCTTAATCTATATATTATGCTTATACATGATTATCATTCATTGATGTATAAAAAAATTGTCTTGGATTTTTTAATCTTTTGCATCCAAAAATTTGTAGTTCTGCCAATTTTTGGATTAAGTTAATGATCTTAGATTCATTCAAAAGCCAAAGTTCTATTATTCATCATACCCACAAATCACATATTGTTATTATGCAGGCTTTAAAAATCATCAATAATTTAAAACATCAACCACTCATGTTAAAATTCCTTGATTTTTTAAATTTTGATTAATTAATAAAATATTGGGCTGATTGAAATGAAAATAACACTTTATTAAGATAACCTTCTGCTCTGATTTATGTTTATATGTGTTTGCTGAATTATTGTTATATATTCTTGTAATTCAGATTTGGCTCATATAACAAAAAATGATTATTTACTGATTTATATTAAATACAACATTAAATATATTAATATTCATTTATTAATTTAATGAGTCCTTTAATTCATTAAATTATTGTTATTACCTTTAGCTTTCTTAGACATAAATATATCCATCCATAAGGCTGGTCTTTATGGTGATGGTAATAGTTAATCCAAAGCTCACTATTCTAGTTGAATTAAAATCTTAGAAACAAAGCTTGTTAATAATTTATTAAAGAATTGTATTATTTACTAAGGAATTATAAGTTGTCTTGTTTCCATTATCCATGCCTCATTTGACTACACCAACCCAATGATGTAATATTATTTCTAAGAACCAAATGGTGATTTTTTCTTATTATTATTGAATTACAAGTTCAAAATAATTTGTTGCAATATTATTAAGAATTGAAGGCATAGCTTCAACAGGTAATTCTTTTCTGTTTTTTTAGTAAATAGCTAAAAATTCTACAAAGAGATCAAAGAATGTACAATTTACTAGTGATATGTGAAATGTCATCTGACTAATAGATGGGATTAATTCAAAATTAAAAAAATTTATTCAAATTTATTCAAGTTAAAGAATTAAAATTTATTCAAAAAAATTAAAAAATTTGTTTGAATGACCTTTAACATAATTCAAATACTAAAATTCACAACAAATAAAACAAATAATTTGAATAAATCTTATTCAAATAGAAACTACAAAAAAAGCAAATTGATTAATGATTATTTAAGCAATACAATAGTTTTATATATTCTTTTTGGAGATCAATTAGATTTTTTATAACAGGACCATTGACATTTTTGTTATGTTATATTACTATAGATCTGTGGGAAACTATTAAAAAATTAATTAATTCCCACCCTAAATGTGGCATTTGTCAAATTTGTATTAATCAGCTCCATCTATCATGAGATTGTTTTTTTGGATATATAAATGACAATTTTTTTTTTCATTGCAGTATTCAAAAAATTCAAAAATTCAAATTGTTCAATACACAGGTAAACTTGATAAATACTTGTCCGATTTATCAAGTTTACCTGTGTTATAATTAATGATCTACAGATTTTTGTGATCATGTTGTGGCTAAATTCATCTTTTCGTGACGCATCATTTTATTTTTACAATAACGCGAGTCAAAAGTTTACCAAGGCACCATGATGTGAATCAAAAAAAATTATCACTATCATTCTTATTACTTACTATGTAAA